TAGAGGGGCAGGTTAGACCGGTGCCTTTATTGCCTTCTCTCTCCCAACTTCCCCCTTTGCCTTAGATGGAGATTTTTTTTCTTCCCGATCCCTGAACGGCTCCGCTGCCCCGACATGTCCCTGGCTGGCGGCGCACGGATTGGTCGCCAGCCGCCGCTCCTAGCCGAGTAGTGACCGGCAAGGGACCGGGCGCCGCGGTCACGTGAGGGCGGGGCTTGGCGGGCGCGTGACCTTCCCCTCCTCTTTCGGGCCTGCGGTATAGTCACCAGTTTTTATTCCTGTTGTGGGGGCCGCTGCCTCGTAAATAGGATTGAGTCTGGGCAGCCACGCTGCGAAGGCAGGGACTGCACTTTGCGAGATCGGAGACCAAACTGCCCGAGCGAGGCCCAAGAGCTGTAAACATGTGGAAACGCGTACAAAGCAAAGGAGGAGGGATGTTAAATACGAGTAAGTCCAACTGGAGGCAGTAAACCCCAGGGCTCCAGGCCGATCTGAACTAATCTACCCAGGGACAGAGTGAAGCGCTGTGGGAAGAACCTGAAAGTTGCCTCCTCTTTGCGGCCTCAGGTTTACCAACTGTAAAATACACTCTTGGGTATCTGATCTGTGGAACCAGACGTGTCCCTTAGCTGGGCAGTAACACAGAATCATTTAACTGCACTTGGAGCCTGGGATGGGGGTCACCTTATGTCCCTATCACATCCACTAGCTGTTCTTAAAACAAGTTTCCACAGTCACAAGGCTGGAAAAGTTTTACCCAGCCCATGGGACTGAGGGCTGAGTCAGAAGAAAATGAAGTACAGGAAACTGGCCTGGCCTCCTTAGCTGGAACAATCAGGTGGTCCCCTTGCTTCCTGCCTCCCAAGAGCCACCTCTTTTCGGGGCAGGAGCCCAGTAGGTGCTAATTCTAAGTGAGGAGCTAAGCCCGCGCAACTGGAACCCACACTCCATTTCAGCCTCATTGGATCTGGTGCTTCTGGAGCTGGAAAGTAGAAGATGCAGAAAGATACCACGCCCTTGCAGGAAAAAAAATCCTTGGGTTTGAAGCAGTCTAGCTTACAAAGTGCACTTTCACATGCGTTATCTCCTTTTAGTCTGACTGAACACATACTGTGTGCCAGGCACTGAGCGAGGCACAAAAGAGATGAGGCAGTGTTTTGCTTTTTAACATGTTATTTTTAGACAGGAAGGGAGGGAGAAAGTGAGGGAGAAGAACATCGATGTGGAGAGGCCTCTTGCAGGCCCCCAACTGGGAACCACAACCCAGGCACCTGCCCTGACTGAGAATTGAACCGACAGCCTTTTGGTTCGCAGGCTGGCACTCTGTCCACTAAGCCACGCCAGCCAGAGAGAAGCACTGTGTTTTTTAAAGGGGCTTTTAATCCAGTTTTAGAGAGAAAATTGAAACTAGTACCCATGTTTTCAGGAAACATGAAGCAGGTGCTATGACAAAGGGGCAGATTCCTAACACCCATTCGAGAATAACACAGCCACCTGGGTAGGAGAGGAGAAATAAAAGCTTTACAGAGGGAAAGTTGTAGGGATGAAACCATGAATGTAGGAAAGATTTCAAAGACAGATACAGGGGTGTAGAGCAGTTTTTTAGACCTTACCCAAGAAAGCTCATCTCTTTTCATAAAATGGCAAGTTAGCAGTAATAAAAATAACACTTTCTGAGCACTTGATATGGGTCAGGAATGGTTTTAATTTATATATATCATTGAAGTCTCACGGCAACCCACTTTACACAGGAAGCAACTGAGGGATGGAGGGGGCTGATGTCCCGCAAGTTTACCAGGTAGTTCCTCCTGAATATCTTCCAGGCACCTAGGAAAGAAGTCTCATCTGCCCCGGCTGGTGTGGCTCAGTGGATTGAGCGTCAGCCTGTGGACTGAAAGGTCGCTGGTTAGGCTCCCAGTCAGGGCCCGTGCCTGGGTTGTGGATAAGGGCTGCAGTTGGGGGATTGCAGGAAGCAACTGATTTGTTTCCCCCTTTCTCTTTCCTTTCCCCTCTTTCTGAAATACGTAAGTAAAATCCTATTTAAAAACTAAAAAATAACCCTGGCTGGTGTGGCTCAGTGGATCAAGTGCTGGCCTGCGAACCAAAGGGGCCTTGGTTTGATTCCCAGTCAGGGCACATGTCTGGGTTGCAGGCCAGGTCCCCAGAAGGGGGTGCAAGAGAGGCAACCACACATTGATGTTTCTCTCCTCTTTGTCCCTTCCTTCCCTCTAAAAATAAATAAAATATTTTAAAAATATGTATTTTTTAAACAAGGTAGTGTCATCTTCCCTTATCAAAAGAAAACAAACGACCAACCTCTAGGGTTGCACTGGGTGTCTGGCCTTTAGAACCGTATCTTCCTGAGGTTCCCACAATCCTGACTACTGTGCCTAACCTTGTAATTATCTCTGGGGAGCAAAGCACCCCTTCTCCCCTTTGATGCCCCAAAGGATGCACCAGTGAGCTTTCCCTTATTTCCAACTCAGTTCATCCAAAATCTCAGGATATATCTGGTGGCCCTGTCTGGAGCCACAGCAGCCACCATTCAGGCAGTCCCAGCACAAAGTTGGGAGTCATGGACCCTCCACCCTTTCCTTCTCTACCTTCACCAGCCGTTTCCAAGTCCTGCTATTCTACCTCTCAAATATCTACTAAATTCATCCTCTCAGTTGCAAAGAACCCTGACTGGGCCTCAATGTTGTATTCCTTCCAGCTGGTTCTCTGCAGTAGTGGGAGAACGAGCTTGTACTGGCAGGAACTTTCTGAAATGCAAGTATGATCCAGTCCATCCTCTTTAAAATCCTCTGATGACCAGATATCTGCAGAATAAAGTCCATATAAACGCAATCAAGGCTCTTCACAATGAGGCTTGTGCCCAACTCCAGCTTTTATCTGCTGTTCCTTTGACCTGCGCCACAGTAGTGGATTTCCTGAACGCACCGTTCTTTCTCCATACCTTACATGCTATTCCTGCTATTGGGGATGCCTTTCCTGCCCTCATTTGCCCAGGAAACTCCATGTCTTCAAAACCCAACTCCAACACTTGCTCAAAGGAGACTCCCTGAACTCCACTGGCTTGGATTGGTTGTGCCTCATCTCTGATCCCACTGCCCCCTTACGTCCATCCTATGTGACACTTAACCCAGATCGGTGGCTCAAGTATTTAATGGTTCCCTTGGCTCTTGTCCTCACTAGACTGAGTTGCTGAGAAGCAGGAGCTGCCTCGCTCCTCTCTGTATTCCCAGTGCCTAACAAAGGATTTCACAGAGTAGGTGCTTAATACATGTTTGTTGTATTTGAGACAGAAGGATGACATGAGCAAAGACACCAAGGATGTCTAGGAATGGAGTGCGCTCCTTGGCCAGTTTGAGTCCAAGGGATGTGCAGCAGGGATGTGTGGACTAAGCCTGGAAAATAGGTTATTTTGGTTCTTTCAAGGCCTTGGGAGCCAGGCTGAGAAGTTTGGTGGGCAGTGGAGAACACTGAGGTGTTAGATCACCGGAACTATGCCAAAGACAGGAGGAAAAACTGGAGGAGGGGTTGGGGTGGGGGTGAGAGAAAACAGGCAGCTGTCTTATCGTGGATTAAACAACAGCTCGGGGAGATTATGACTACTCAAGGCTACACAGCTGGTAAGTGGCAGAATTAGGAGCTGAACCAGTTCTAGACGATGTCAAGTCCAAAGATCTGCACCTCACCGCAGGGGCTGTCAGTAGATGGGGCTCCCAGGTTGTCCAAGTATGAATGGAGGACAGGTTCTATTGCAGACACAATGCCCAAATCACCAGCGTGACACATTTATTTTCTATTCACACAAAGTCCACTGGTGGTGCTGGGCAACACCTTAGGCAGCTCTGCCATCCAGGCTGCTTTGATGTGCTTCCATGGTGCCCGCAACAGGGAAAGGGCACTTGGAGCATCATGTACTAGCTTTACTTCGGAAGTTTTATCGGTCATACGTACCAACCATGGTTCAATGTGAGCAGACCACACAAGAGCATGAGTATCACATTGAGATCACTGAACGCCATCTTGAAGGCTGTCACCACAGGTAGCCAGAAGGGAGCCTCATCTGGATGATGGTATCTTCCTAACCCTTTCCTGCTCAGCTCATCTTTCATCTCTACTCCAGCTGAGGGAGAAGCAAGGTGAAGTCTGCAATGACCCTGAGAGGGAGGCCAGTTTGCAGATGAGGGAACCCAAGGCACAAAGACATTCTGCGACTTGCCTGACTCCCGTGTGCTTTTGCATCAACCTGCATGTGCAGCAACCAAAGCATGAACCATGCAGTGTAGACTTTATAGACATTTGTAAGCCTGTCTCTCACTGTATAACTGGCCTCTCACACTCCCATCTTTGCCTCTGCAGCACTTAGCTTGAGACTCGTACAGAGGAGTGGCCAAACCTATTAGCCAAGCCTTGCACACTTCCCTCCACAGCCCTTGGACCTGCCCACAAGATAGCTGTGCAGGACGTGGGGAGGCAGGAGTAGGCGTCACCTGCCCATGAGGGCACCAGGTGGGGGGAAGCCCTTTAGGATATGTGAAGAGGGCAGGGGGAGGCTCCCGGGTGCTGCTAAAGGGCAGATGCCCCTGCTGGACTGAGCTCTGTGAAGGTGGAATTCACCCGTGCCTAATGCAATGCGTGGGCACGTTCCTGCTGTGGAAAGGTTTTCAGTAGTCAAAATTTCTCTACCATGCTGTTGCCTTATTGCATGCCACCCTGTTCCAGACCTGGCCTTGAGTGTAATCTCTGTTTCTCTTGTGTCCTAGGATCCCGCCTATGGCTCTTAACGGACAACCGTCCCTAGCCCTGGGGCCGCCCCTGCTTCTGCCAGAGTACCTGAAAGAGATTCTCATGCGAAACCCCACCTCAGTCACCTGCAAGCGCCCACCCGAAGGCTAACACTGCTCTCTCCCGCTGACAGGATGCTCGGCCTCTCACCCCGGCTGAGCCACGCAGTCCCTTTCCCTCCTCAGCCGACCACACCAGAGAAACCAGAACCCAAGCCAAAGTATCAGAAACGTGTATTCTTTTTCTTTTAATAGTAAACCTCTTTACAACAAATATAGTGAAAGAGTTTTCAAACAAAACTCATAAGAATATCGAGGACTTTGTCTTTTCTTATTGTGTAGAATACTAAGAAAGCATCACCATACAGCACGAAAAGAAATATTGAAAACAAATCAACAGCCACACACTTGGACTCGCCCTGCCCAGGACCCAGGAGGAACCCCAGGAGGAGTGTGGGTGATTGTCGGGCTTGGGGGCGGGGCACCTCCATGGCCTGTCCCCTTCCTCCCTCTGGGACTTGAATGGGGAAGACAGAGAGAATCCAGATTCTCCATAAAACATTCCAGCGCCCCTCCCCCAGTACAAATCCCATTTCTTATATCAACTGTTTAGGGGGTGGAGAGAGGTGGCAGAGGGGAGAACAGAGGAGTTCCCAGGCTCCATGTCTCCTCTCCTCCATGAAAGCCTAAATTCACCTCCCACCCAACCCCAGGGGATTGCAAAGAATCAGTTAAAAATATATAGATATAGATATTTCTAGATACACTTTTACATCATTTCTGTTTCTCCAAACAAATAAATAATCATTAAGAGAAGGTGCATTATTTCCTTCCTGTCCAAGATGGGGAGGGCTGGGTAAGGGTCAGGGGTCAGTCTCGCTGCATTGAGTGCACTGCTGGGGGAAGGGGAACGGTGTATTCAGCTGGGGTGGGTGGGGGTCCTCTTGCCCACTGTCCCTGAAAGCTGTGGGAAACCTGGGGAGGAGAGAGACATTGGATGACTCCAGTGATTACTTTGGCAAATGCCCAGTTATTTGGAGGAAGGAGTGGGAGGAGGCAAATTTGGCTTGTGAGAGGAGGAAGAAATGAAGTCCACATTTGAGGTCTGGATTCCCAGGGACCCTTCATCTGGCCGGCCAGGAGCCCCTATCCCCAAGAGAAATCTTGGGGATACCGAATTGCAGAAAAGTCACATATTCACCAACAGACCACCCCCTGCCCCTAGAGATAGAGAAGAAAGGATACACACACATCCACACATGGTAATCAAAAGCCAGGTTTGCCGCTAAAGGCAGAGGGCAAAACTGGTAAATATTGCACCGTGAATTGCAAGGGCCCTCACCCGCACCCCATGTTTAATGGTGGCCAAGCCCAGCCTAGAAGGGTGGACAGACTGATGGCGGGAATAGCCTGACAAGGGAAGGCCAGTCATTCAATATTTATTGAGCACCTATCATTCAACCACTCACCCGTTTAGCATTTAACTGAGTGCCAACTATGTGCCAGGCACCGGACAAGGCTCTGGGGATGCACACACATAGGACTACGTCCTGTCTTTCATGGCCCTGATTAAGCCTCAGCAATTCTTGAAACTCCCTCTAGGAACCTGCAGGAAGACTGAACAGGCTTTGAGGTGGGGGTTAAGGTGTGAGTAAGGATGGTTCACTGATCAGGTGAGGAAAAAGGTTTAGGGAGGAAGAGGAACTTGACTGTCCCCCTGAAAGCAGGCCTGGGGTGAGGGGAAGAGGGTATTCTGGACAAGGGGTTATGTGTACAGGTGTGGGTTCTGGGTATACAATTGTGTGTGGAGCCTGGGAGAGGCAGGGCTGCAGGGAGAAGCAAAGAGGGTGAACTGCTAGAACCCTTCGAACTGAAGGGCAAAAACATCAGAGCTGAGGGTGAGAACAGGTGAAGGAGCAGGGCATAAGGGAGTGGAACTCAGGGAGGAGGGTCATGGAGCTGGAGGCCAGGGCTGTGTGGCTGCAACAGCCACCTGTCCCTCTGTAAACACATACCCAGGCACATGCTCACATGCACACAAACAGACACCCTCAGAGCTCAATTCGCCCACAGACTCATATGTATGCCCAGATGGGCTCAGGGACCCACACGACCATGCACACAAATACAAAGGGACACTGGGACATACGAATACCAAACATCTTCATGAGTGCACTGGGTGCCTGTGCAGCCACATGCCTCCCTCTGCTTCTGGTTTCTTCCCTGCCTCATGTTGGAATACTGCTAGTGGCTGGGTCATAGAGATGGGCAAAGACAGTCACCTGGCACAAAACTATGCCTTGTCTCCTCTGCTTTCAGCCCACCGAGGTGAAACCCCAAAGGAGTGCTGCACCCTGTGGGCAGAGGGGTGGGCTTACGTGAAGCAGTGGGACAAGACCCCAGTCTGCCTGCCCATGCACCCTAAGGTGGCGGGTGGTGTGGATCACGGGCTAGGGGCCTGCACCCTCCAGTCTGATCTGACATCCAGCCTGAGGTCTCAGGATCTGGGGAGGCAGCAGAGAGGGGCAGGCTGGGGGGAGGAGAGGAGCAAGAACAACAGCAGAAGAACCTCATCTGTACAGTACGGGCGTTTGAATCATTATTATTACAATATACTTTGACAAAAATAGAATCTCATTTCATATCAATACAACAACAACAACAACAACAACAAAAAACAGTTCCTGGACTGTTACACTGCTAACGTTTTCCAAAGGTTGCTATTTACAATTACAGTAGCCAAGAGGGAAGGTAGGATGCGGCCTGGGGGTGGTGGGACAGGAGGTAGCCAGACAATGAGGGTGCCAAGAGCAGGAAGGTGGGGTCCACAGCTGTTCGGGAGTGGAAAGAGCAGGGAGAGGACCGGTGAGAGGGGCCAGGGAGGAAAGAAGGGAGGTCGGCCTCCTGCAAACCTCCCGGTCCCCTCTCCCGTCCTCACAACCCTAACCCCAACAACCACTCCCCTGGGGATGTGTACGTGCAAGGAAGAGCAAGTCCCCTCACTCACACCTGCCCGTGGATGCAAGGGTCCCAGTCCTCAGGCACCCCGGGGTGACCAAGGCCTGCTCCCACTGAGCCACCTCGCTCAAGTTCCTCTCCCCAGTTCTCCCTGTGCTTTGTGGCCAGCTTTACAGGGCTGGTGTCAACTGAGGGACAGGGAGCTATTGCACTGTGTATCTTAGAGAAAATGCTGGGAAAGGGAAGGGACACTGACTCACCCCTAGCCCCGGCCTTCTGTCCCTCCTCAGCCCTCTCCTCGTGGCTCTCTCTCTCTCCAAATGTGCTTCACAGGGGCCCTACCTCAAAACCTATCCCCAGCCTCAGATTCCCAGGCAGCCTTCCCAGACCAAAAGCTCGGCCCGCACCCCCACACCCCAGAGGTGCGGCTCACACAAGAATCAGTGAGAGAGTGTCGTGTGTGTGCAGGGGCACATGGGGGCCAGGCGTGGGCATTCTGCCCCACAGAAACAGCCCAGAAGCAGAAACCCTTTGCACAGCCTCTGACTCATTTTCCCCGAAACACAAACCCACCACCAAGCCAACTTTGGGGTTTTGTTGTTTGGTAGTTTTTTTGGTTATTTCCCTCTATCTGGGGGATGGGGTGGGAGGGCTCTGCATGCAGGGCTCGGCACCTGTCCTTTCCCAAAGGCCCGTTGGCCCCACCCCCTCCTGCAGCATATGTGTACAACGTGCAAAGTGTCCCCCCTACTTCCCGCAAAAAAGAGCTCCCACAGCCAGTGAAAATGGCGGGGGTGCAGAAAGAGGGAATGAGAGCATCCCCTCTCCAAAGTGAGAATCCAAATTAAAAAAAATATAATATTAATAATAATATAATAATAATTATACACAAATGTAACCGTCAACAGGACACGGAGCACAAGAAAGGAAGTGGGGGTCGAGCGGGAGGAGCCCAGGACAGGGGGGTGGGCGGTGAGATTGTCAACTCTTCATCAGGGAGGCTGAGAGGAGGGGAGTGGGGATCGTCACTTTAAGGTCTGTGAAGAAAGGAGATGGAGAAGGGGGTATGAGGGAGTGGCCCAGGCTACAGGGTATGTGTCCCCCACGCCCTTCTCCCTGTAGGGCCAGGATTCTAGTGGCAGGACCAGCTCTGAGCGGAGGACGTTATCGAGCAGTAGGACTGATGCTGAAGGGAGGGTTAGGAGATGGGCCTTCGGTGGGGGTAAAAGGGCATCGATGCTGCCCTGAAAGGGCTGACGGGAGAGCTAGCTGGCCAAAAGGCCTCTCGGGTGGGAGATAAGACAGGCTGGGGGCACACGGAGCAGTCCCTGGGTGTAGCAGACACTGGCAGACGGGAGGGGCGATGCTACAGTACCCAGGTGTCGAGCCGCATCCTCTTCACCGCTGAGCCCTCGGCCTCGGGCTCTGGGGCTGGGCGCAGCAGGCCCAGTGTGGGCCCGAAGTCCGCCCGTGCGTCATCCCGGTCCCCTGTCTCATAGGAGCCCCCAGCTGGGCTGCTGAGACTGTCACCAGGCTCAGGGCGGGTAGCTGGGAACACAGCTGGAGGGGGAGGCGCAGGGCTGCGCTCACGGCTTGGGGACACAGGTTCCGACTTGATGCTGATGTGTGGATGGGTGGTAACCGTGAGGGCAGCACCCACATGGGGCAGAGGGCTGCCAGGGCTGGTGGCATGAAATGGGGATGGTATACAGGGAAAGAAATAGAGGAGAGGAGGTGACAAAAAAAGTGATGGGTGTTGACAAGACAGAGGGTGAGAGAGGACAGAGAATGAGAAGACAGGCAATGAGGGTGTGAGGAAGAGACAAGTGGATGGGGACAGAGAGACCAGGAAAGAGAGATGGCCAAGTGAAGGGAAAGAAGGGAAATAAGTCATATTAGTTCTCTTTCTATCATATGCCATCTTTTGTAGTCTAGGGTCCCCACCCCACCCCCACCCCAGGCCGGCTGGAGGAGGGGCTCGGCGTGGGTATCCCAGGCCCATACCTGGGACACAAAGGCTGCCATTTGGTGCCTCATACTATCCACTGATGATAGACAATTTCAAAGGGATCCCAGTTCTCAGGAAGCCCCGCCTCTTCTCACCCCTCAACTGTCCCTTCCCAGACACCTGCACGGATCCCCAGGGACTCACATCAGGTTGCTGAGAGACACAGGGACCAGGTGGGGCTGCTGCTGTGGCGGTGGTTGCTGCTGCTGCTGCTGCTGCTGCTGCTGCTGCTGCTGCTGCTGCGGTTGCGGCTGCGGCTGCGGCTGGGGCTGGGGCTGTGGAGGTTGCGGCTGTGGAGGCTGCTGGGGCTGTGGCGGCTGCTGCCAGGCGGTGACATTGCCTAGTGACAGCCCCCCAGGTGAACTGAAGGCTGGTAAGGAGGAGAGCTCCGCACTGGTCAACTGGTAATCTGGGTGGGGAAAAAAGAGGATGAGCCTCAGTGGGAGGGAGAGGACTGAGGCTCGGGGGCACCTCCAGGAGGAACGTGGAGATGGAAGAAGTTGTTAATGATACACGTGACTAATCCCAAGAACCCATACAAACTCAGGAAAATGGCACTCCCAGTTGAGAAATGCAAATTGATAACCATGAGGTGCCGTTTTTATTTGTTGTTATTTTTTTAACAGGGTAGAAAAAGAGGTGGTTTTTCATTTTCATTTTTTAAAGATTTTATTTTAGCCCTGGCTGATGTGGGTCAGTGGACTGGGCACTGGCCTGTGAGCCAGGGAGTCACTGGTTCGATTCCTGGCTGGGGCACATGCCTGGGTTGCGGGCCAGGTCCCTAGTGGGGGGTGTGCAAGAGACGACCACACGTTGATCTTTTTCTCTAAAAAGCTTTTATTTTATATATTCTTTTTAAAGAGAGGGGAAGGGAGGAAGAGGGAGAGAAACATCAATGTGTGGTTGCCTCTCCCCCCACTGGGGACCCAGCCTGAAACCCAGGCATGCATCCTGACCGGGAATCCAACCAGCGACTCCCTGGTTTGCAGGCTGGCACCCAATCCACTGAGCCACATCAGACAGGGCAAGAGGTGGTTTTTTAAAAATAGTGTTTAACTTTTTATTTTATTTTTTTTACTGTGCGTAGGTATCACTTTCAGAAAGTGAGTTTATAAAAAGGGTAAAAAAATAGGGATGGTCTAATATGTTTGTCATCTCTTCAACCGCCAAGTCTTCAAGTGCCTTTCTGAGATCAAGGGGAGTCGTGGTAAATGCCAGGTGAATGGCACATCTGAAGCAAATTACTGTTAATGACCATTTCCACCTTTTGTAAAGTCTAGAGTCTCCTAAAGACTGTCAAAGCGTAAGGAGCAGTCAAGGTTTGAGCTGCTGGGCTCATACACATGAACACAGAGGATACATGTCTGTCCCCCAGAAGGGCCTGCAAGAGCAAAGCGGCCGGGAGAGAAACAGGTCTGCAGCCCAGCAAGCCAAGGTGCCGCCCAAGTTCTCAATGAGGTGCCACTCATTATTTTCCAAAATTTCTGTCTCAATAAAGAAACTGTGATGTTTGCCCTGTCACAGAACAAACAGAACCATGAGATGCTTTACAGTTTACATAGCACTATTATGTTTCAGGTTGCATCATGTTTGGGACAGTGTAGAAAATGTCTCCCCTAAGGAGTATAACGTGCTCGCACTGCGGCGGCGGGCGGGCATAAGCACCCACTCGCTGCAGCAGCCTGCTGCCACCGCGCTCTTACTCAAGGGCCCATCTGCTCCAGCCCTCTGTCTTTATGCAGAAAAGAGAGTGCTATCTGTGCGACATAACAATAAAGTTACAGGCATGAACGATGAGGTCAAACTTCCTGGCTACCTCCACTTATAGGTCGTGTCACTTAGATAAGCTACTTACTCTCTATAAAGTGGAGGCAATAATCCTGCCTATATCACACAGCTGTTGTGAAGACTGAGTTAATACACATGAAGCATAAGAGCCAGCAAATATTCAAAAGATTTACTTATTGTTGTTATTAATTTACAAATGAGGAAACTTCAACATCCAGTTTGAGGAACTCAACCCAATTAAAAAATAGGCAACAGATCTAAATAGACACTTCTCCAAGGAGGCCATACAGATGGCCCACAGACATATAAAAAGATGCTCAACATTACTAACCATCAGAGAGATGTGAATTAAAAGCCACAATGAGATGTCACCTCATACCTATCAGAATGGCCATCATTAATAAAGCAACAAACAGTATGTGTTGGTGAGGCTGTGGAGAAAAGGGAACTGTAGTGCACTGTTGGTGGGAATGCAGACTGGTGTGGCCACTGTGGAACAGAGTATGGAATTCCCTCAAAAAATTAAAAATGGAACTGCCTTTTGACACAGCAATTCCACTGTTGGGAATACACCTTATGAAGCCCAAAACACCAATTCAAAAGAACTTATGCACCACTATGTTCATAGCAGCACAATTTACAATAGCCAAGTGCTGGAAACAGCCTAAGCACCCCTCAGTAGAGAAGTGGATAAAAAAACTGTGGTACATTTATACAATGGAATACTACATAGCAGAAAGAAAGAACTCCTACCTTTTGTGACAGCATGGATGGAACTGGAGAGTATTATGCTCAGTGAAATAAGCCAGTTGGTAAAAGACAAATATATGATCTCACTTGTAAGAGGATTCTAACGAACAAAATAAACTAACGCGCAAAAGAGAACCACAGGCATGGAAACATGGGACAGACTGACAGCAGCCAGAAGGGAGGCAGGACGGGGACAATGGTGGAAAGAAGGGAAAGGGAATAATCAAAGAACATCTATGAATGACCCGTGGGCATGGACAATAGTGTGGATATTGACTCTGGGAGCGGGGTGGGGGGTGGCACTGGGTGGAGGAGGGCAAAGGGGGAAAAATCAGGACAAATGTAATAAAATAGAATAACAATAAAAAATAAAAAAATAAAAAGACTTCCAACCAAGATGTAGGCATAGTAGATATACTTTGCCTCCTCGCACAACTAAAAGAAGAACAACAAATTTAAAAACAAAAAACAACAGATTTAAGAACAAAAAATAAACAGAACTGCCAGAAAATCGAACTGCATGGAAGTCTGACAACCAAAGAGTTAAAGAAGAAACATTCATCCAGACTGGCAGGAGGGACGGAGACCCACAGCTGGGGTGGAGGATGCACGGCAAAGCAGCAGCTGGCAGTCCCACGTTTGTGTGCCGATAAACCAGGAGGAACAACTGGGGAGCAAGATAGACCATGCAACCCAGGGTTCCAAAGAGGGAAAAGAAAGTGTCAAAAACCTCTAGCTATAAAAATTATGACAGTAGCCAGCAGCAGGAGAAACTCCCAGCCTCACAGGTGAGTTTGTTGGAGGGACCCACGGGGTCCTAGAATGTATATAAACCCACCCACCTGGGAATCAGCACCAGAGTGCCCAATTTGCTTGTGGGTAGCGGGGGAAGTGACTGAAAACCCGGCGAGAGCTGAGCAAGCGGCATTGTTCCCTCTCTGACCCCTCCCCCACATATAGCATCACAACACAGCTAAGTGGGTTGCCCCGCCCTGGCAAATACCTAAGGCTCCACCCCTTACAACGTAACAGGCATGCTAAGACAAAGAAATATGGCCCAAATGAAAGAACAGATCAAAACTCCAGAAAAACAACTAAGTGACAAATAGATAGTCAACCTGTCAGATGTGGAGTTTGGAACACTGGTAATCAGGATGCTCACAGAAATGGCTGAGTATAGTCGCAAAACAGAGGAAAAAGTGAAGGCTATGTGACGTGAAATAAAGGAAAATATACAGGGAGCCCACAGTGAAGGGAAGGAAACTGGGACTCAAATACACAATTTGGAGCAGAAGGAAGAAATAAACGTTCAACTAGAACAGAATGAAGAAACAAGGATTCAAAAAAATGAGGAGAGGCTTAGGAACCTCTGGGACAACTTTAAACATTCCAAACCGAATCATAGGGGTGCCAGAAGGAGAAGAGGAAGAGCAAGAAATTGAAAACTTACTTGAAAAAATAATGAAAGAGAACTTCCCCAATCTGGCCAAGGAAACAGACTTCCAGGAGAGCCAGGAGGCTCAGAGAGTCCCAAAGAAGTTGGACCCAAGGAAACACACCAATACACATCATAATTACATAACCCAAGATTAAAGATCAGGAGACAGTCTTAAAAGCAGCAAGAGAAAAGGAGACAGATACCTACAAAGGAGTTCCCGCAAGACTATCAGCTGATTTCTCAAAAGAAACCTTGCAGGCAAGAAGGGGCTGGAAGGAAGTATTCAAAGTTATGAAAGGCAAGGACCTACATCCAAGATTACTCTATCCAGCGAAGCTATTATTTAGAAAGGAAGGGCAGACAAAGCACTTTCCAGATAGGGTCAAGTTCAAGGAGTTCATCATCACCAAGCCCTTATTATATGAAATGTTAAAGGGACTTACCTAAGAAAAAGAAGATCAAAACTATGAACAGTTAAATGACAACAAACTCACAACTATCAACAACTGAACCTAAAAACAAGCAAAACAAAAACAAACTAAGTCAACAACTAGAACAGGAATAGAATCACACAAATGGAGATGAGAGGGGAGGGGGATAGGGGAGAATAGGGGAAGGTACAGGGAATAAGAAGCATAACTGGTAGGTACAAAATAGACAGGGAGAAGTTAAGAATAGTATAGGAATTGGAGAAGCCAAGGAACTTACAGGAACGACCCATGAACGTGAACTAAAGAGAGGGGATGCTGGTGGGAGGCGGGGTGCAGGGTGGAGGGGAATAAAGGAGAGAAAAAAATGGGACAACTGTAATAGCATAATCAATAAAATATACTTAAAAAAAAGAAAAAAATTAAAAAAGTTTAGGGAACTCGCTCCAGGTCACAGAGAAAGCCAATAGCAGAGCTAAGATAAGATCCTAGCCTCTCTGTTACCTTTAAATCTCACCCTAGAGATGGTCCGTGCTTGCCTCTGGCCTCATAGTGTTAGCCAGGAGCTTTGAGATGCTTATGTACATATTTAAAAAAGCAGAGCAAGGTCAGAAAAGGGCCCCTAGCACCAACTATTTCTAACACTCATTTAACAAGTGAGGAAGCCAACCACAGAATAGTGCATTACCTGCCCAACATCCCTCAGCAAGTGAATGGTTGAGCCTCAAGTCCCAGTCCCCACCTTCGCAGCACACTCCAGGCCCGTCCACCCAGAAACTTGGCTCCCCAAGAGGCTTGGCTCTTCTTAGATAAGAGGAACATGGCCTGGGGGCCACCTGGCATCCCACTTGGTCTGCTCCTAGCATGACCATAGCCAGACCTCTACAGCCAGTGTCAGCAAGGGCTGTTCCTTACCTGAGACACGGCCACAGCCAGATCAACCACAGGCAGAACCTGAACTGGGACCCAGGATTGTAAACAGAAATAGCTAAACAGCAATGTGTTTGTTAGGGTTTTGTTTATGTACCTAGAGTCACCAGAAAACCCTGCTGCTAATACACTATTGGTGGGAATGCAGACTGGTGCAGCCACTGTGGAAAACAGCATGGAATTTCCTCAGAAAACTAAAGACAGAACTGCCTTTTGATCCAGCGATCCCACTGCTGGGACTATACCAATTCAAAAGAGCCTATGCACCGCAATGTTCATAGCAGCACTATTTACAATAGACAAGTGCCGGAAACAGCCTAAGTGCCCATCAGTAAAAGAGTGGATCAACAAACTGTGGTACATTTACACAATGGAATACTATGCAGCAGAAAGAAAGAAGGAGCTCCTACCCTTCGCGACAGCATGGATGGAACTGGAGAGCATTATGCTGAGTGAAATAAGCCAGGCGGTGAAAGACAAATACCATATGATCTCACCTGTAAGTGGAACCTAATCAACAAAACAAACAAAAGAGCAAAACAGAACCAGAGACTTGGAGATAAAGAACAAAATGACAGTGATGGGGGGCGGGGGGTAAGAGGGGAAATGGGAAGGGGCAAGCAAAGGAACACGAATAAAGGACTCACGGACATGGACGAGGGGGGACAACTGACTGTGGGAGTGGGGGGATGGGGCAGACGTGAGCAATGGGAAAAAAGGCAGGACAGCTGTAACCGAAGACAAATAAACAAACGAACAAACAAATTTAAAAAAATGAATTCCTCCTGCAGCAGGAAGACCTGGAGCTCCTGACTGCCGAGAGGATATGAAGAAGGCCATACAGTTCCCAGCATCGGGGTATGTCCTCACACCACACCGACAGATATAATCTAGTCTGGTCTGCTGAGCACCTGTCCCAGGTTCATGGATACCCACTAACCTCTCTCCTTCACAGAGTGGCAGAGGACCCGAAAGGACAGCAGAAAATCACCATGGGATTCCCAAACCAACAACAGCTTCTGAGAAGTGGTCTGCGCTGCCCTCTGCCGACCACCCCCAGCCATCCTCAGGGAGCTGGTTTTTCTACTCAGGCCCGTGGCCCCAGCTGGCAAGGCTGGACAAGCCTCAGAGACCTCCTGCCCACCCACAGCTCTCACAGATGAGGAGATCGGCACACAGATACACGGCCAGAGTCTAGCCCTTCAACATGAGGCAGTTCCTCCAGCTGTCTTCCCTGCCCCAAAGTGCTTTCCGACATACAGGGCTGGGTTCTGGATTTTTACACGTGGGGAAGAGGTGCAATTTCGTGGATATTTATACTGATGTCTGGGACCTACTGTGGTTCAACTCTGGAATGGGGGCTTGGAAAGGGGAGAGAAGTTGAAGGGTCTCCTGGTCTAATCTGATCTCATCAGTAAGCAGTCCTAATACAAGCCATTTGAGAACCTGGGGGAATGGCAGAGGTCTTCTCAGCAGGAAACTGACCAGGCTCCCCTGCCACACACATGCTCTGAAACCAGGTGACGAGGCATTTCCCTGCAGGCAGTCCTTCCTGACACAGCAGCTTGCAGTGCAGGCAAGGAAGGCCAAGAGTGTCAGACAGTTCCTGGGAGGATGCGAGTGGTGGCACAGGCCAGGACCGCCCTGGGTACCCAGGATGGCCTGGGCACTGGGAGTCCTGTCTGAATTCTTCATGTCTCCAAGTGACTCTTCACCTTCAGCTCCCTCTCCTCCACCTTCATCACTCTTCCTCCTCCTTGTCCCCCTTATCACCCCACCACCAAGCCAGCATCAGGGTGAAAGACAGGCTCTGGATCCCTCTGTGGCCTTCCCTGGAGCCTGGATAAATCCTCTGGTGTGGCCTGCTCAGCTCCCTGTCTCTTCTCCCTCATCCCTTCATTCTCCTCCTCTAAGAAGGCTTGCTGAACTGGCCATGTCCCCCTCCTCACCCCCCGACCCTGGTAGCCTGAACCATCTGCTCAGCCCACCTCTGGCCTGGCTTCTCCTAAGGGGAAGCTCCCTAAAGACAGGGCTGCCCTTCTCCATTAGGTCCTCTATTAAAAATAAGGGATACCCAGTTAAATCTGAATTTCAGATAAAATGATGAATAATTTTTTATTGTGTAAGTAGGTCTTTGGGACATACTTTGCAGAAGAATGTCTTTGAGACATACTAAAATATTACTCATTGTTTTATCTGAAATTCAAATTTAACTGGGCAGTCTAAGTTCCTAATGACTAAATCTGGCAACCTCAATTAGGGGCTCTCCCAAATCAACGGCCTTCCTCAGACTTGGGTGTCTCCCAGAGAATATTTCGTGTTCCCTCTGGCCCCTCCCCTGTCCCAAATCCATGTGCACACAGTTCAGGCCACCCAAATACTCACCTGTGTTGTAGGCAGTGGGCATGGAAGAGAAGGGAAGGCCCTGGCTGAGTAAACTCGGTGTTGCCACGGAAACCACTGGGGTGGTGAGTGAGTGGGTAGACTGGGAGACCCCAAGGCGCTGGGCGTTGTTCTGCAGGAGGAAATGGTCTGTCAGGAGGTGGCCATGGGGGTGCTGCTTGATCGTGGCCTTCCATTCCAAGGCCAATCTGGGGGCCTCTGAGTCCCAAGGCCCAGGCGGAATGCCTCAGCACAGAGGCCCCACAGACACAAGAACATATGCCGGTGCATTCACAGAGACTGAGATCCATGGAGAGAAACATGCCACACAGATCCACTCACGCCTACACACAGAGAGGAACGCACTCATGCTTGCCCTGTGGGCCCAGCACTGAGCTCTCCTATGGCAAAGGGAGAGCCGTTCTCCTGGCCGATCCCTCTGGAGTCTGTTCTCCATCCATCACACTGCAGCACATGCTCAGGGAGAAGCGTGCTGGCATCTGTGAGGGGAGTGCGTGTGCCTGCGTGTATGCACACACGTGTGTGGGGCTGTCAGCTCCATCTGCTGCTGACTCACTTGTTTATTCCAACTCCACGCTGGGGCCGAAACTGCCGCCGTGTTGGCCGCCAAAGCCTGCCTGCCTTTTCCAGCCTCACTGGCCTCCCACCAGGGAGTTAGGGAGGGAGGAGCCCCCGCTCCACTCCTGGATGAGGGTGAGTATGCAAGTGTGTGTGTGAGAGAGAGAGAAAGAGCAGTTGTGTTTGCCTCTGAGTGTCTGTGAGGCGGCCTGTGTGCAGGACGGAGCACAGAGACAGAGGGGAAGCAGGGAGGCCACCCACTGAGGACAACTCTGGCCATGCCTTAAGCCTCAGCTTCCCCCCGAAAACAGATTTTATTGTCTGGCTGGTACCCCTTCTACAGAGGTCCACCCTGGGTTCCAAGAATGCTCAGTGGGCCTGAGTAGAGTCAGAGGGCAAGTGCAGCCCAGCCTCTGAGACACATCCTAGGACGCATCCTGGGACAAGGTCTGGGGCAAGCTATGGCCCACTCCTCTTGCACATGCACAACACACAGACGAAGGTGTGCTTGCATGAATGCAGTATCACAATAAGACATCCATATTGCACAAGTACAAACACATGCGTGTCTGACCCCTCACCCATACCCCATTCACTTCTGTATCCCACTTGGCACTAAGCATAGCTTCTGGCAAGTAACAAAATAAACAATATGCTACACACACAGGCCAAAGGACAAGGGCACACACATCCTCCATGCTGTGGGCCACAGAGCAATGAGATGATCCCAAATTCAAAGCCACAGCAAACATCTCACAGTCTCACTCACCAGATCTAAATGGTCCTCAGTCTGGGAGCAGAAATAAAACCAAGGGATGGTTCAGTCTCTTGCCTCCACCTTCCCCTCATACCTCTGTCCCCAGAGCCATCCCATCCATCTCTCTGCATGGGAGCAGGATGGCTCTGCAGCCAAGAAGCACAGAGCTTTTCACTGTCCTGATGGATTTCCAGAAGATGCTACCTCCTGAAGTCCACCAGGTAGGAAATCCTCACCATCTAACTCCCATTCCTCTGTTGTAATGGCAGATCTTTCCTATTCTCCTTCCTGTCACAGAACATTCTCTCCCACCTCCTCTTCCCTTTTACTTCCTTTGAAGCTGGTACTCCTGTGTTCCAACCTTTCGTAAAGCCCTCTGGGGTTTCTTCCCAGCCATGCTGCCATGATTACCCTTCATCTCCCTGCTGGAGGTCAGCTCTTTCCTCCCTCCACTCTCCCATTCCCCAGCCTCTCACTCCACCCAGACCCCACTCACCAAGTGGTGCATTAACCCCTTTCCTCCCTGGGAAGTGATGACCCTGAGGTCGGGCTTGCGGCTGGGGGCTCCAAGCTGGGTGCTGTGGGTAGGTGGAGGTGGAGACTTGGCAGGGATGACCTTGTTTAAGCTGTTGCCATTGGCCACAGGGAGGAGGCCAGGAGAAGCCCGAGCACTGACGTAGCCATTCCCTAGAGAAAAGGAGATGAGCTTAGAAGGACAAACATGGGCCCACCCCTCAGCCCTGTTAACTGCCTACATGCCAATATTCCTGTCACCCAGCCCATCAAAGCCACACTCAGGCTTTGAGTAGGTACTGAGCTCTCTGATTTTCCCCTAAAACCCCTAACTGTCAAGTCATTGGGTTCATCTTCCTGACTTCAAGCTATGCATGATGGGGCTGGGTGGTAGGAGCTCTGAGGTTGGCAAGGAAGAACTGGAAACGGAAACCACCATGGCCAAGAAGTTCTCCTGTAGCCAAATCTTCTCCACCTCTTCTCTCTTTGGTCTCCACGGGCAGGAAGTTCAGCACCTTCTGATCCCACTACTGGCCCCTGACTGGGCCCACAATGACCCAGGCTGGAAAGGGGGTGCCAGGCTGGAATGTAGGCCTCAGTGAGGATCCTGCTCACCAGGGCCACTCTACCACTCAGGCTGCTCCCTTCACAATAAGCTGGGGACGCAGTGATTTGGATGAGCACATGACAAGATGCCCACAGCTCTGGGGAAGATGAGTCATTCACTGCTGTTCCTGACACTGCGGGACTGATAGCCCAGCCATCACCGTAATTAGACTGGTAATAACAAGCACAATAACTATCCTTACATTTGCTCCATACTCCACAATCTATGTGGGGCTTTCACATGCCTATTATCTCACTTAGTCCTCACAGTAACCCTTAAGACGGATGGGACACATATCATTAGCCCTATTTACAGAAGAGGAAACTTGAGGCTTGGATGGCTGAGGTGTTAATGACTTCTCCATGGCTACACAGCTGGATGAAAGCCAAGCTGGGGCCCTCACCGCCCTCCACATGCCAGGCTTGAGGGCCCACAAGCATCGCTGCTTCCTGAAGGTCTGCAGGCATTTTTCTGGCCCTCTCCTTGGAGAGGGAGGGTATTCATCCTTTTCCCCCATTTCCTGAACCCGTACACAATTACTGCCAAAGAGCTACTATACGGTGCCTGGTGATAAGCCTGGGATTCTAAAGCCCCAAGATGCGGGGGTGCTTACAATCAGAGGTGTCACCTTGTTCTGTCGCCTGAGAGCACACTGTTGTCCTGTACTTGTGTGGCTGCCTCCATCCCAATTCTCAGATCACTCTGGGAATGGCAGGAATGCCAGGGTGACGTCAATGGTGACATTCGAAGTCACAGTCACCAGCACAAGGCAAGAGGGACGGTCAGCTGCCGGGTTTGGGAGTTTGCTAGGGAGCAGCCTTCTTCTGGGGCTTATAGATGTGTACAGACAAATGTACATCTAATGTCTGGATATTTCCACGAGTAAGAATGTCTGTGTGTGTGTTTAAGTGTGTGTGAGTCTGTGCCTGCTGTTCGTCGGCAATGCCAGATCCTCCAAATCCCAACCAGATCGCCCCCAACTCAAACTGGAAAAACTTGGATCTTCACCTCCAACTAGAAATGTTGGTCCATTCTTATGGTTTGTCCAGAATTCCCTGAGCCTACAACTCCACATCAATCATTGCTACAGACAAAAAATTCCTGGGGCTTAGAAATCCTCAGACAAGATCTCCAATTCAGGCCTTGGGATCTTCCTCTCCTGTAATCTAGGTCCTTCCTGGTCTCTGGACCCCCGAGGCCTCTGCGCAGGCAGACCTCCCCCCACCCCCAGGCAAGGGCAGCCGCACTCACCGACAGGGCTGGGGCAGGCTCCGTTAGCACTGCTGAGGTCGCCCCCCAGCATGGCCCCTGAAGGACAAACAGACCCATGATGAGCTGACAAGACACCCCCTCCAGAGTGAGTCTTAGGGACGAAACAGAAAGAGGAGTTCCTTTCCTCAGGAACCACAGAAATGGGAGAATGCTATGCAGATGAAGGGAAATTATTGAAAATGGAATCCCAAGTCCCCATCACGCCTCATTTCCACCTCACCTACCGCCTACCGCCCACTCACCTGCACTGGCTGGGCGCTGGGGCAGGCCAGGAGACACACTGTTCCTCTGTAGTGCTGGCTGCTGGGGGGACAGGAGCCGTGGGTCCGTGAGGGATGACGTCACCAGGGAAGGGGTGACCAGGGAGCCGCTGGGATTGCTGAACTGCAGTGAGCTCTGATTGGACACGGGCACTGTCACAGGCATGGCAAAGTTGGGGGCCGGGACAGCTGACTAGACAGAAAATGGAAAGGCTGGGTCAGGCCAAGGTGACCTCTTACCCTAGACCCACTATGCCTGAGAAGGCAGGCGAGGGTTCTTCTAGTGTTGGGCAATGTGTCCTAGGGCCAGCAGCTCGATCTCTCTGCCCTGGGCCCTTTTGGAGTCCTGCCTGCCACTCCCACCAAGGAGGTATGCTGGTGGGAATGCTTTGGGATCCAGCGCTGGCCCAGAGAATGAGAACAAGGTTCTGCTCACTACAGACAGGACCAGGGACACCTGGAACGCCCCCTAGTAGAGGTAGGTTAGTTCTCAGCCAGGCAGGACACACAGGGAGCAGGTTAGAGGCCCTGGGTACAGATTCAAACTCACACACACAGCTGTTAACAGGCCTGTGCCATGGGCCAGGGCATTATTTCTCTTGTACTCTCTCATCCATACGGTCTGCTGCAGAGGGTGTTCACTCCACCTCACCGCCTTTGCCTTTAGCAGTCTCTGCCTCCCCTAAACAATGCTACTAAGCACCTGAGCCTGGGAGTGTCAGAGAGGCCCAAGGGGGTCTATCCCCGAGAAACATCCAGACAAGAGCACATTCTCTACATTCCTGTCATCTGAGGATCTCATGTCACCCATACATTTCTTGCTGGTGAGGGGGACACTCCAGGCCTCCCCTGGCTTATGCTCCATCCAAGTGAGTCTTAGCAAGGGTCACAGGTTTATCGCAACCAAGGTCAGAGGTTGCTCACGAGTCACCAATAGCCCCAGCATGGCTCAGAGCAGAACATCCATCAGAGGCAGCAGAGGGCCGGGCCAGGGCGCGAAGCCACACCATGCACCACAAGGAGGCTCTCCTCCGTGCTACTACTCACGGCCAGTCTATAACTCTGCATCATTTTATCAAACTCCTCGTCTATCTTTTTATATTTCTCCTCCGTCTGGGGGGTCAGGGCAAACACCTCGTCCACCTCAGGGCTTTCACATTCCCTGTGCTTCTTGTGCAGCGCCTGGGGGGAAGGAGCCGGAAGGGGGGCCAACAGAGAGAGAGTGAGTGGGGCTCACCCCATAGCGCCGGAAGAGCCCGTCGAGCTCCTCACTGGCGCGCCGGTACTTGTCCTCCAGCAGGGGGCTCTGTTCCAGCGAGTCCTCCCCGTCGGGCTCTGGGCTGTCGCAGCCGTTGAAGCCCTTCTTCCTCAGGGTCTGCAACCACACCACTACTGTCAGCAGAGGTGAGGGTCCCCCCCACGCCCATCGCTCCAGTGTTCTTTCAGCCCTTCCAAAGGCATATTAACTTCCCCAACCTCCATCCTCAGGGGTCCCAGCATTTCCCCAGCCCCCTCCCTTGGTGCCACCTCCCCCTCCTGGGGCATTGTGTGAAGATGTGGGCAGTGTGGGGGGAGACATCAGAATGCAGGGATCAGCCCTGGCTGGTGTGGCTCAGTGGATCCAGTGCTGGAATGCAAAGCAAAAGGTCGCCAGTTCAATTCCCAGTCAGGGCACATGCCAGGGTTTCGGACCAGGTTAAGGGGCGGGGTGCGCCTGAGAGGCAACCACACATTGATGTTTCTCCTCCCTTTCTCCCTCCCTTCCCCTCTCTCTAAAAATAAATACATAAATATCTTCAAAAAAAAGAATGCAGAAATCACATGAAAAAAGGTGGGCATAGCCCAGGGAATATACACTGGGCAGAGAGACATGTGTTTCCAAGGTGATAGGTGAGGAGGGCTCTGCGGGTTGGGAGGGATGGTGGTGCCCTGGCCAGCCCCTGCCTTACCACCCATGACCAGCCCCAGGTAGAGGCACGGAGCATTCCCCAGGGAAAGATAGTTAGGGCTGGCTTTGCCCAGCTGAATCCCTGGGTCCTGCTTAGAAGATGTGGGAGAGAAAAATAGAGATGAGCCAGAGAGAAAGAGAGACAAGAGGGAGAAAGGCACACAGGGTAACTAGCATTTATTAGGTTCCTACAATGTACCATCCCATATGCTGTCCTTGCTCAATGTCAGAGCTTCTCACATGTGGCCAAAGTAGGGACACACCAGTGGATCTGAAGTAGATCCTAAAGCTGCCCTCTCAATGTTCAAAACACCTTCATAGATACTTGTTTTGTCTTTAAAATGAATGCAAATTTTACATTCTAGTCTTGATTAAATGTTTTTTCTTCTTTTGTTTATTGTTCAAATAAATTTGTCTCCATTTTCCCGCCACCACTTTCCCCTGCCCGCCCCCCCACCTCCCACCCTCGATCCTTCCCCACTTGGGCTTTGTCCATGGGTCCTTTATACATATTCCTTGATTTGACCCTTCCCCTCTTTCACCCATTTCCCTTCTCCTTCCTTCCCTCTCGTTCTTGTCTGTTTTTTCTTTCAGTGTTGCTGGTTATATTTTTTAATATGTTTTCTCTAATATAAAATAAGGGAATTTCCTCCAAGTCTTTGAGTTGAAGTCTTACTCCAGGAAGGCAGGCCTGTGCCTTTGCACACATCCCTCTCCATCGGCACAAGTCCACATGCCCAGTGCACGCATACTTCAGTGTGAGGAGCAAGAACCGGACCATCTCATTTCCCACAAACCCTTCAGAGCAAGCACTGGCCCCATTTCGTGGAGGTGGGTGAGCACCAAGGCTCGGAAAGGCTAACCCAGAAGGCCATGTGGCCAGTAAAGGCCAGAGCTAGACCCCAAAGCCCGTGTCCCTTGGCAGTTCACAATGGCAACTCTTTTTGAAACAGAACATAGGGCCATGGGAGCCCAAAAAGGGACTGAGACAGCAGGAGAGAGAAAAACAAAGAGGGGGGAAAAAAAAAAAGGAAGAGTCAGATGCAGTAGCAGACCAAAAGCTGGAGAAGGGAGAAAAGACAGAGAGTTTGAGAAAAGACAGAAAAGAGAGGCCGTGTCGTCCACAACAGACATGAAGAAAGACTCTGCAAGAGGGCCGCAGTGGGAGAAGGCTGGGTGAGCAGCCATACCTGACATCCACTCACTGACCCTCCTTCCTCCTCGGCCCAGATTTGTGTGAGAGGATGTGAGTTTCTAGTTTGTGCACACAGGTGAGGAGCTATGAGGGAAGGTGTACACAAGCACATGTACGGGCAGGCCCATGCGTGCATGCGTGTGCTGCACAGGCACATGATGTTCGGCGGCAGGCAGGGAGGGTGAGGTCCGCGAGCGTGGGCCCACCTCGATGATGTCAGCATTGGTGCGGCTCTCGTGCGGCTCGTTGTACTCTGTGTACTTGAGGAGCACCTTGTCCATGTCGGTGCTGGCGTACTGGAACAGCTTGTTGGAGTGGTTGAAGATGATGAGCGCGATCTCACAGTCACACAGCACGCTTAGCTCATACGCCTTCTTCATGAGCCCGAACTTCCGCTTAGTGAATGTCACCTGCAAGTGGGTGGGTGGGCAGCCAGATCTGGCTCAGTGAAGGCCTGCCTAGGAGTCCCCACCTACAGGCAGCTGGAAACAGCCCCTTCTTGAAAGCCACCATCTCAGGATGACATAGCTCTTTTCTCAGGCGCCCCTGGCCTGGGGAAGAAACAGGCCAGCACCCCTCTGCCAACACACGGGCCATGACATAGCCCACAGCCAACTCACTGGAGGCAGAGGATTCAGATGAAAGGACCTCCACTTCTCTATTTTGGGGACTATAGCGAGGTCAGGGAAGGAGAACAGAAGGAGTTCCTGGCTCTTCCACCGGGGTAGGAAGAGGAAAGGATTCATCTTGGGAAAGGGGGTGTGCCTGGGTGTGGCCCGAGACTTGCATATAGCTCCTGGGTAGGGCGCACAGGTCTACCTGGTTGCAGCAGCAGGAGTTCTGAGACACAGGGTTCTAAGAGTTGCAAGGAAGTGGGGCTCCTCTTTTCCCAACTCAGCCCTTCCCCTTCCATAATAACCTCCAGAGTACAATTCCTCCAGGAAGTCCTGTTGGGGTGGCTGCGAGAAATGGAGGCAGAGGCCAGCTCCCTGCCCTCATCCACACTGTGTGGCTCCAGGACCTCCTCACCTGTCGGTTCCGCTCATCGGTGATTCGCTGGATCTGAATCTTTTTCCTCCCCATCTTCTCTGGGGATCCTCAGTGCTAGGGAGGGGAGGGGATCGCTGGATGGTGGGTCTCAGCACGCCTCACACTGTGTTCATGAACGGTCTGGGACCAGTGCTCAGTTCATGGTCTGCAGGACACTTTCTGCACAGCCTCCTGTGGGAATAGGGTCATGAGAGGACTGTTAGCCCTGGCAGCCCTCAGCCCCGCTCCTTGGGCACACAGGCCAAGCCCAGAGCACCTCTGGGAGAGGCTGTCAGCGTCTGAACCCCATCCTGAAAATGAGGACATGGTGGCAACCGAGGGGATGGCATGCCACAGCCAGGTACAAGCTGGACCTCACACTCGAGAGCCCAGGACTCTGGTACAGACCCTTTCCACACCATCACTGCTGCCCTCACGTTCCAGGTCAGACAGGGTACACAGAGCTCCCCAGCTTCTAAGGGCCTGGGTCTTCGAGAACACCCCACACACTTTCTTCTGGAGCAGAGACACCTGAGCTCACCAGCTGGCCCTCTGGCCTAGACTGTGGTTCTTGTGCTGCAGCATGGTGCAGAGAATGTGTTGAGTAAACACCCGCCAAGTCCACAAACTGCTGGCACAGGGCACCTGGCGCCACGATGGGAGTGTTTCTGCATTCCTGTATCAAGAACATATTAGAGCAGGTCTGGAGCAGGGGTCCTCACACCTGGTTCATTAAGTCCTGGTGCCTGGCAACCTGGAGTCGGATTGGGGCTACAGACCCCCTACCTCTTCAACCAGGGCGCTTCCACACCAGTCTATTTCCTTCAGTGGGCCTCAGCCTACAATTCTTTTTTGAAGGATCCTGCTATCAATCTATCAATCAATCAATCAATCAATCAATCACCTTTCTAGACCAGAGGCTGGCAATTTTTTTCTGTGAAGGGCCAAATAAAAAATGTTTCAGGCTTTGCAGGCCGTAGTTGTAACTACTCAACTGCCATTGTGGCATGAACGCAGCTGTAGACAACACATCAATGAGTGTGGCTCTGATCTAATAAATCTAGATTTATTAGAACAGGCATGGGCCATAGTGCTGATTCCTGCAATAATGAATGGGCTAAGTCCAGAACCCAAGCTCACTCTGAATAGTGCTTCCCAACCCTGTTCACTGTGAAGCACAAAGAGAAAATACAAGCCTACTGGAGGACGCAAAAGGAGACTGCTGGACGCCAGAGAATGCACGCCTCAGGCAAGGATCTGTGTCTCAGCGTACCGATAAACCAGTCATGGCCCACTGGCTGAAGAGCTTCAACTCCAGGGCCAGAAAGGCTCTGTACTGTATAACTCTGGAGGCACCTTGGGATGGGAGGGGGCAGGGGTGAGAGCCCAGCCTGAGCCAGAAAAGGGGCATGCTTTCAGGCGTGGGTAGTGCCCAAATAGGCTGGGTGAGCCCCATAAGATAATCCCAGGGTCTCCCCAGCTCTTAGATTCCAGAAGTCTTTGCACCAGAGGTGGAGCCTTCCGGGAGATGTTGGAGCTGGTGGTGAGAATGGGGCTCATGTTTTCTAAAGCTTTTCTGACTGGTTCCTGAGAGGAGCCCAGACCACAAAAGTCCAGCCCTTCCCTCCAGAGTTCCCCCTTCCACAGAGCCCCTGCCGGAGATCCCACTGCAAAGTCGAGGGAGACGGGCAGAGGTGTCACTGTGGTGTTTAATGACAGACATCTGTAATTCGGAGCCCCCTCCTCAGCCCCCATTTCCAATGGCTGAGCTTTTCCAGCTCCATTCAACAGTGGCACCCAAGGTTCCACAATAGGTGCTGAAGATCACCCTTGGCATCTTGGCATGGCGGAAGGGAAGGCAGGGAATCTGTGGACTTGGGAGGAGCCAGGACTACCCCTCTCCACTCTTTCCCATTACCTGGACTATCCCTCAGGCCTTCCCTAGCCCAGCTGGAACAAGAGCTTCTACTCTGTCTAGGTATCTTCAGAAAGCCATGCAACTCCCTTCCCACTCCTGGAAGGACCCTCTGCCCCTCTCTCCCCCCAGACACGAATGTTCCCTTTTCCTTGTTCTCAGCCTGCTCCATGAGGCCTGAGCCTTCTGTTGTCTGCCCTCACAAAGGCCCTAAGACAACACCAACCCAAGCCCCGCCAACCCTGAGTAGCCCAGCAGACACCTCGGCCCAGAACCGCTCCATCCTGTGTGTTTCTTGCCTGTAAACCCAATTCTGCCGAACTCCCACTACAAAGGCTCCAGCAAAAGGATTTCAGTTCCCTTGCCACCTGGTGCAATCCATAGGCTGCATTTTCTAGAGTTTTGCTGGAGAGGTGGGGAGGGCACACCAAGGGTCGGGGGTGAGGCTAAGAAGAGGGCTTTTTAAACAGGATTCTCTGGCCTGCCTTGGAGACTGCAATCCAGACTGGTAAGTGCAGTCAACACAGCACTCCTAGCTCACAGCATCTAACTGCCCTCCCTCTCCCATTTTACCATCTCCTTCTCACAATCCTTTGTTCATAAGCAAATTCTTGATGAGATGTGACCTCTATCAACTTATGGCCAATAACGTCTTACTCCAAGTCAGAAGAAAACCATCTCTTAGCTCTCATGACCCTCAGAAAAGTCATTCCTGCAAGCCAACCTCACTCCTTTGGTTCCTCCAATTATTTACTCTCATGGTATCTTGTTCTTTTCTTTCTAGCACTTATCATGACTGTAAATCATTATAATTCTGAGCTTCTATTTAATGCCTGGCTCCCCTATGAGACTAAAGCTTCGTGAGGGCAGGAACCACATCGGTCTTTTTCACCACTCTGGCCCCTGAAAGGAGAAGCTCAGGAAATATCTGTTAAGAGGAGGAAAGGACTTATCTTCATGACCCTGTGAGAAGGCCTTCTTGTGGTCCTTCAGTCAGTCCTGCTGCAGGACCAACTCCTCTCTCCATCCTGTGTGGAAACAGAACACTTCCTCTGCCAGCTGAGCCTGAAGCTTGACCAGCTGGAAACCATCTACCTTCCAACCACCTCTGCCTTCAACCTTCTCCACCCTTGGGATGGCTGGAACAGAGGGTGAGACTCTGAAGTCTTCTAAGGAGCAGCCCTAAGCACATGGAGATGGAGAGGATGGGGTTGCTTAGGCAACTGTCGCCTGGCAACCAGCTCCCTGGCTGATCTCCTACACCGCCCCCCCCACCCCCGCCTCATGCTGGGGGAGCTGGGATGTGAGAGGGATCAGGGCTGAAAAGACAGGGAAGCCAGAGAGGCCCATCCAACATCCTCTAAGAGGGAAGTCAGGGCATCATCTATCCCCAGTCCCTGCCAAGGTAGCCCAAAGGACTTTTTATAATTCCATGTCCTCATGGCCCCTTCTCCATTACCCTCCTATCTTTATGCCAATACTGCCAGAGGAGGAGATGCCCCTGCCTTAGGCAGCCCTTCCTCCTATCTAACCAGGAGCTCTCCTACAAAGCAGGCCCAGGTTATACCAATCTCTTTCCTCTCTGCTCCCCATTCTACATTATTGCGGTCTTAGAAAGCCCTGGGGCAAGAGCATGAACTCACCTCTGACTTTGGAAGAAGGGGCGGCTGGGGCCTGGATGGGCGGCTGGGGCCTGGATGGGCGGGCACAAAGGATCCTAAACTGACCCTATCCAAGGTACGGAGGTCTGTCCTGTCCAAGATTTCCTCCTACACAATTAGGGAGATTTTAATGAACACCTGGACCTTCTTTATTAGCCCTCTGCCTAATTACCTAACCAATTGCCAGGAGCCAGAGGCCTTGGCATCTGTTCTCCAGATGTGAGCCTTTTCTCCCTCGTCTGCTCTGGGCCCGTTCCTCTTCTTTCCCACCTGCTCCTCCTCTAGGAAGCCCTCCCAGATAAACTGGCTTTTGGCTACTTCTCCTGGAATACAAGGCTTGGGAGGGCTCAGGGCTGCCATGGAGATGGGGGAGGGGCAGGGTGTTAGCCAGGATGGCCTTCATGCTCTGATGGCCCCAGGGCCTGCCCAATCCTGACCTCAGGCCACAGCTATGACCCCTTCAGCTGGCAGCATCTGTGTCACCAAAAGTACCCCCTGGAAGTTTCGGACTGCTTCTGATTCACCCCCTGGGGCAGTGCTGGCAGGACAGGATAGAGCAGCTCCTCTCCTGGGGGTGGGGAGTGGGGCAGGGAGAGGTAGGGCCTTCCTCATGGAGACAGAAGGAGCAAAGCGGGAGGGAAGATTGCAGCTGGGCTGCAGAGAAGTCTTTGCAAATGGAGAGCAGAGAGGATGAAGGGTGGGAGGCTCATGTGACAACATTTGGACAAGGAGGAGGGGCTGTGAGGACCAGAGCCAGGGGAGATCCAGAAGGATCCCATGGACAGCCTTTCTTCCAAGCTGTGCTATAAGACCCAGTAGGAACACGTGAGTTATATTAACATGCACATGAGGTGCAGATAATATGCGAAATGTACCCTAAAAGGGGTCTTGGTTTGAAGGGGGCCTGGAAGAAGTAGCAGGCCTCAGCCTCCCCCAATGTAACACCTCCTGGTACCTGAGCAATATTCAAACCATTCTTGGGGTTTCAGAATGATACTATCTCAGTTCCTGTGTAAGAGTGGCCTGGGGCCAGCGGGGGTGGGGAGCGGTCAGGGCTGTCTCCCGGAGCACAGTTGCAGCAGCGCTGCCCTTCCTGGGGAGCCACAGAAGTGCCTTCCAATGGCTAGTGTCAGGGGAGTACCTGCCTCTCCTTCCCCATACCTTTCCACCCATATCTGTCCTCTGTTCCACAGACTCAGAGGAACTGCAAGGCACCGCTTTCAGAACTGCCACACCAGTGCAGGTCAAACAGGGCAGATGCCCAGAGAGGCTGAATAAGCAGCCCCCATCACAGAGCAATGGCTTCAACCCTGCTCCCTGCTCTTCCACATGGTGAGAAAGGCAGCTCTCATTAAGTGAACCTTTTATCCCTCCCTCCCAGGCTGCTCCGGGCAGGCAGGCGGCAGGCTGTGGACTGGAGGGGAAGGTAGGAGGCGCTGGAGACAGCTGTCATCCCTCCTCCCGCCCCTTCCCTGTGGCTGGGCTGCAGGGCATGAAATAAGCAGCAGGAGCTGGGGGAGGGGGTGACAATCCAATCCACCTGTCACCCCCACAGTCAGGCGGCCTCAAGCAGCCTGCTCACTAATGAGAGAGGAGGTGTGGGTGAGGCAGACACA